CCCCCCCCCCCCCCCCCCCAATATTTCACATGTGCATACACACGCACACACACACACACACAACCCTAATAACACTAGATTCACTAGATAAATGCCTTGACAGAAAATTGAATTAGCAAGGACAAGTCTAACATGTCCCTAGCGGTAAAAATCTTACAGTGACGATTGAGATTCTAGTAGTGGACATCATTCCTACACAACATCACGGCTATCACCACAATGACAAACATATTCATCATGTATTTAACCCTCACTATGGATCTACCTGGTCATCCCCAGCATCTCTCAATAGTCGTCATCATAGAAGCAGTGGCTGGAATCGAAACTGCAGTTTAGGCTCCAAGTTGCCATGACCCAAACTTCTACTGGCAAGATGAGAACAAGCGGGAAAGGAGAACAAGGACTAAGAACGCAAAATGCAAGGAACATGGATGATAAACCAAGATGCTCCAGGTCTTCTGAGGTCCATCTTGCATCTCCTTGAGGGTGGGTTTACGCGGGGAGCTGAACCACTCTTGACATGAAAGTCCTGGCACAGGAAGGCAACACGCAAGCCGCTGTATTTTCGCTCAATGCCAAAGATGTCGCAAAATGTTCTTCTAACCTTGCAGTCCTCCTGCTTTTGGTTCGCCACCTGCGCGCGCCGCCAGGCGTTGATCTTGGCCCGCTCAGCGGATAGAAATGGAACGCGGACATCCTCAGAAGGAACACGCTAAATATCCACAAAGCTGTTATGTGAGTACGGCCTCCGTTTCAATTTTGATTTTACGGAGCCGGCAAGTCGTCCATTGACAAAGCCGACCATTAACCTCAATTCCGAATCCCTAAAGTGCTTCGCTTTCAAACCGCAAACCTTTAACAATAATTCCTAATCGCTATAGTCAAACCTGCACGCACTCCAACATTTAAAAGCAAAGCCCCATACCCTAAACCCCTCTTACTCCCAGCCCCTGCACCACCACCGCCGCCGCTGCCGCGAAGACCAAGAAGCCTCACGTAAACCGATTCACTGTTGTAAAGCTCAGCCACACATCGCGGCCGTGGCCGCACAGCACTACGAGGGCGCAGCCTGCAAGGGCCAAGCCTACACGGTTTACGTTTTGGATTTAGTTTATTCTTGGGGCAGATGGCGAATATGTGGAAAGTACAGAGAGCGGAGTGTTTACGGCTTTGGGAGAGTTGGGGAGTGAATCTAGAATTGTATAATGGGATAGTACGAGGTTCTAGGGGTAAATGTAGTGGTGGTCATCAGGAAGAAGGTCTCAGGAGGTGTTAGCTCACATGGGACTGGCAATCATCTAAGGGCTTCACGAAAGCTCTAAAGGCTTGCATGGATCCATGGCTTGCATGGATCCATGTAAGGGTCTAAAGTTTCTAGGCTTGGTTGGGCCATATGTGAAATCATTCATGGTCTTGGGGGTACACTCTAGAAGGGCCATGCTTTGCTGCTCTTCCCACATTGCACAACATTTAATGTTTTGGAATCTTTTGGAATGTTTGTCAATCCAGATTTGGATTATTTGATTCTCTGGATTTTGGGATGTTGAGTAATTGTTGGATGTTTTGTATTTTTGTAATGTTCTGTATTTTGGATTGTCTGTAATATTCTGTAGTTTGTGTAATGTTTTGTTTTTGTGTAATGTTTTGTAATCTTTGTAATGTTGTGTTTCTTGTAGTGTTGTCTATCTCTTTTGCAATGTTCTGTGATGTTCCTAGTTTTTTGTCTCCTTTGATTTGGCCAGCTTAGCAAGTGGCCACCTGTTATTTCAATCACATCTCGGGTTTCTGGCTTGCTGTATGGGATTTTCTGGAATGTGTTGGAATGTTTCTGAAGAATCTTGAATCATACAGGATGTTTCCTAATTTGTCGGCACCCTTCTAAAATGACCCTCTTGAACCGGCCCCCCTTTCTGGTTGAAGATAAAAAACTTACAGGTTCGACCGGGCTAGGAAAATAATCTATACAGGGCGCTGCTAGACTAGAGTTACTGCGAGTATGATTCTTCATCTATCAGACTATAGTCTCGAGGTTCTCGGATTTGGGTTGAAGGATTTGAGCCTCAAAATTTTGGCCCAGGGTATTGGGGTATGGCGTTAAAGGTTAATGGGATTGGGGCTCAAGCCTCTCAACAAAAACTCCCCAACCCAGACCCCCTCCTGCTGAAAAAGATCTCCGAAACAATGCGTAAGCGTCCACTCAAAAAAACTGTAGCACTGTGGGAGGACTGGGAGATGTCTAGCAAACAAACCCCTCTTCAGCACTGGTCAGAGAGGTGCAATGGCGCTCGAGGGTGGGGGTTAAGGCTTCGTGTGCCATGCATCAAACCGCACAACGGAGTAATACAGACTGCACCGGTCCTGTTGTAGGCAGCTGGACGCGGTGCCGAAGGTTGTCGCAGACCCTGCCGAAAGAGGTGGTCCTGCTGACAAAATGTCAGAATCTAAAAGACTCCGGATATGAGCACCGAGTGACGCAGCATTCAAGGATGTTTGGTCTGGGGTGCGATGCTAGTCTCTGGCTTTTGAGTTGAGGGTGTGGGACCATAGCTACCCTGGACCTTCATTTGATACACTTTTGTGCGCTCGAAGGCCTTCAAAACCAGTTTGAAAACGTTTGCGGATATTGCACTCGAATGGCGCGTTTATGCGCTTGTTTTGCGGGCTGTTTTGTGGCCGTATGAGGCATTTGCAATCGTATGCCAAGTTATGCGCCCGCTTGCTCTGGTAATAGACCATTCAGGTCTGCATGGAAGAGCCGTCAGCTAAGCGGGTCGGGGGCTCCTGTCATTCCTTTACCTAACTCAGGGCTTGGGTTGGGGATCGTGAGTGAGCATTCTCTAAACGAGCTACAAACGATGCCCTGCATTCCTCTTAAAATGTATAACCCTCTGAACATTGAACCCTAAATCCCGAAAAACGCCAAAACCGCTACTCAAGGTCGCGCAACCACCCTGCTGTTACTATGGCCGAGTCTCCCTTTACATGACTCAAACCTTTTCCAAAGATGTGCCAAATCCTTTAAACTGATACTGCGAGACTGAAGGTTGGAGTCCGGTCCTGTTGACTGCACCTCTTCGCATTAAAGCCATCACTGTCGGCCCTCACAGTTTTGCACAACCTCTCCTGAGATGATGGGACTTGGTGCTTACAGCATTGGAACTACAAGGCTTCGGGACTGCGGGCTTCAAATTTAAACTGGAGGGCGTTGGATTCAAAGCTTTGGGCATGCCTGTCAGAATCGGACAACTTGGTGAAGGTTCCAACCCTTTGGTTCGCTCCAAAAACTACTGTGCTATGGTCATGAGAAGTCTAATATGATTGGGATTGCGGCACTATAGTGCTTCTGCTGCTACCACCGGTACTACCGCCACCAAAAGTACCACCACCAGCACCACAACCGCCGCCGCCGCCAAAGTCGCCGACCACTCTCTGCCAAAAAGATCACAGTATCTAGAACAGCACTTTCATAGATGCTTCTCATGGTCTTGAGCAATCATTGGCTGTTAGAAGGGTGGACGGCCAGGCCGGCGCATGCCAGGCCCGAAATAGTAATGGAAGCAACAGCTGCAGTCATCAACATCTCGACGTCATAGTCTTCGAAGCAGAGGATGACAGCAGCAGTAGTAGTAGTAGCAGCAATACTAATAGGAGTAGTAGCAGCAGTAGCAGCAGGAGTGGAAGCTGTTGTTGCAGCAACAGCAACACATCAACCAATCCTGCACTTGCAGCTGAATGTCGTGCTCCGTGCTTTGGGTCATGGCCTGAAACTGCCGTGCCTGGAGCTCCTGGTAGAATTCAAGGCAGAACAAAACATTACTGGAGGCAACCGTTGAGGACAAAAGAAGTACATCTGCGAAAGGAGCTTTCAGCATGATTTAGCATGCATGTGAGTCAATTGCTGCTCATATTACGACACGCTCAGCTTCCAATACCGGTTGCTAGGCGCATGACATCACAGCACTGGAGTGACAGGCTGGCCGAGTCTGGACTTACAAGAGTGCCATGGCGGCCTTTGTTCTGTAGCCAGAACCTATACCTCATTCTCACAATTCCAGTCCCCGCTGAAAAATCTAGCCCTAGATTATGCTTTGAACCCAAGAGTTCTCGCCCTGTCAAGAAGCTGAACGCACTTCCAGCCTTGCCGATAGATATCCTATCGCTATAGGTGTTCTTTTTCTTTCGTTTTCTGATACTATAAGTTGAGAACTCCTTAATCTCATGTCCTTGACACCTCTACAACAACAGCAAAATGCCCACAAAGGAGCCATAACTCAGAATTCCCCCTGTGAGCTATAGTCTAAACTCGTAGTATCGCCCTTCACAACCCCCATAGTATTTCCCTATAAAACCGTTTATATAAGCCCCTTTCAAGGAGCTATACCCTTAACCCTAAACCCTAAGTAGGAGTTTCCATTTTGTTTTCCGTTATCCCCATACAACCCCTACATTGCCCCTATATTTGATGGTAGCTATTGATCAATAAAGTCACGGAAAACTCTTCGGGCCCCGCCTGTGTCATCCGCTCCTCCAGAAGCATCTGCCATGCGTAGGCTGGATCCATAGCTGGGGCAATGCACCCCTATCTTTGCTAGTGGTTAGTAGGGAATAAGGGATACAATATAATCTCTACATATTCCCTCTATAAGATTTTCATTCCCTACAATTCCCCAGTTTACATCAGCAGCTAGACTCCTAGACTCCGTGGAGCCCATGGTACTCAGGTCACGGGCGTGAAGAGTGAGGCCTTCAAGACAGCTGCGTTCCCTGCTGAACCTTGCATCTTCAGGTCTGCTGAGTCTACTTCAGACACCCCGCTGTGCGAAGATTGCATAACTTCGGAATGCACATTTGCTGTCAGTTCAGAAGTAAGAGCTCGTACAGTTGACGTTAATTGCTTGACTGTAGTGCCAACTATCGGCACAGTAAGCTTCCAAGCACACATTTAACTTCGTTCAGCTCGAGCCACTGGAAACGCTGCGTAAGGGATATTAGTAAAAGAAAGGATTTCAACTTGCCAGACTCATGCCTACTATGCTTCCAGGATAAAACCAACCTTGCTTGATTGCTTGTGAAGACGGTTGGTCGAGGTGTGGGTGTCTGAGGGTACACAGATGATGTGGTTGGTCCTTGGTGCATCTGCGCGAAAGTTCCACCATTGCGGTACGGTCACACTGGTGCAACTATTTGCATGAACCCCACAACCCCAAACCCATGGACACCTAGACCTAACTTTCAACCCTTCAGAGGTCCTGGTGCGTAGTACATACTGAGCCCTGTTCAGGTCCGGGCCCCAGGTACGCAGATGCCAGCATCAAAAGCTGGCCCAGCATCACGCAAGGCCGCCGCAACAGAGTTGAAGTCCTGGCACGTCACTATGCGTGGGCCTGCAGTAGCAACTATTCCGAAGCTGGCATTATTATATCGAGTTTTTACAGGGATAATGGAAATTAAAATGGAAACTACTTTAATATAATGG